AATTTTAAAAAATTCATTAATTATTTATTTGAGTTTTATTGAAGGTTTTAACAATTTTTTTATTAATTATTTATTTGAGATATATTGAATTAAATAATGTATTAATTATTTTTCATAATTAAATTAGATATAAATTAGAAGCAAAATTAAGTAAAATATGTAAATACGAAGGGAGAAGCAATACTACGATCATATATCCACCATCTCACAAAGCTACGTTGACTTGCTTTGAAGAATATTGGAGCTGGAGCTGGTGCTGGTGTCTTAGCAAGTGTTAAAATGATTGGCATGTAACCCTGAGGGGGTTCATCAGTTGCCAAACTTGGAAAACGGCCGAGTAAATGCAATGCAATTTCTGATATCAAAAAGTTTTGTTAGAGAAAAGTAAAATAACAATTATAAAGCAAAGAGAAAGAAAAGAAATAATAATTAGAGCTCTTACTGAACATTTTCTTAGTTATACACTTATACACTCTTCAAGAAAAATGAAGCGATAGTCTCCATGTAAAAACCCTTGCGAATCAGGATGGTCGTAGAGTAAGCGTGCTATGTCCTCCTGGTCAGCGGTAATTGCAACATGAAGGGCATATTTTAATATTCTCGGATCAGATCTTGCATTCGGGTTGTCGTGGAGGAATTGCTCTACTCTTCTTTTACTCCCATTACAAATGTGCTCACGTAGGTCGGCTGTCAATAATGATTGTAAAGCAATAGCGTCGGTATTCTTAGCCTCCACAGTTGGGCAAAGCACCAGTTTGGAAATGTAAACATCACGCACAATTTACACACAAATAAATAAATAAATAACAACACTAGGTCATCTCTTTATAGAGATTGATAAGGTAAAATTGGCAAATGGCTCCTTAATATTTTTGAATTAAAGTAAATTAGTACTCAATAAAAAAAGTTGAACTAAATCACCATCCAAACTTTTTATTTTAAAAAAATTAATCAAGATTTAATAGTCGACTTCAACTTTTTATCAAACTCCAAGAACAACAGCTTAACAAAAAAAATTAATTGTGTTGCTTAATTAAGTCTAATTTCTTTAAAAATAAAATTTTGAAGCAAACAATTTACTTTAATTTTGGATAATAATTGACATACACTTTAATTTAATACATTGCATAATGTATTTATTAAAAAATTATTATTTTTTATCTAAAATTTAAGATAGATAAATTTAAAGATGTAATCATATACACAACATATAGTAACTAACTGTGTTCATATTATATTTTAATAACTGAATTAAATAAGATGAATATAAAAAAATATTAAACCGAATATATACCTAAGATTTTTCAGATTGATAAAATAGATAAATTTATAATGTCAACGGCAATTTTGGGAAAATAAAATTTAAAGTTCTCCAAAGTATTTCAACAGAAATGCTTTGCCAAGTGTAACTAGCAGGTGGACCGTGATTGGCTTAGTATTTTTTTTTTAATTTAAAAAACTAAAAAAATGAAAGGATTCAATAAGAAGAGAAGTGCTTGTGATTCGGCTCATTTCTGGTGTACATGGTACTCCCTGTTCTTTAAAAGAAAGACGTGTTGGGCTTATGACAAAATTTTTTTTTTT